CTCTACCCTCTCACCACTCACCTCTACCCTCTCACCACTCACCTCTACCCTCTACCCTCTCACCTCTACCCTCTCACCTCTACCCTCTCACCTCTACACTCTCACCACTCACCTCTACCCTCTCACCTCTACCCTCTCACCACTCACCTCTACCCTCTCACCTCTACCCCTTCACCTCTCACCTCTGCTCTCTCACCCCCCTACCCCTCAGACCTGCACTCATTAACCTCTACTCTCTCACCCCCTCACCCCTCACCCCTCACATCTGTTCTCTCACCCCTTATCTCGGACCTCTGACCTCTCACCCTGACCCATGACCTCTGACCTTCCTCCCCTGACCCATGACCTCTGACCTCTGACCCCTCACCCATGCCCTCTGCCCTCTGACACTGTCATGTAAAGAGCAAGTAGTTTGTTTCCCGTAGATAGACAGACGGTAGAGTGGATGAATACAGACAGTAGATAGACAGAGGCTACTGTTGATGAATATAGACTGAAGATAAACAGACGCAAACAGACAGACAGACACAAACACACAAAGAGAGAGAGAGAGACAGACAGACAGACAGACAGACAGACAGACAGACAGACAGACAGACAGACAAACAGACAGACAGACAGACAAACAGACAGAAAGAAAGCAAACAGACAAAGAGATATACAGGCACACATGTCAGCTGGGGGTAGGAGAATGGGGAGGGGGGTGGGTTATTGAGTACCGATATTTCAAGCACAAACAAACTCAATACATGTACAAAGGCAAGGTGAACATATTAAAGAGTTGATCTTCACCGCAACTACATCTTCTTCATCTTCTTTTCATATCTGAAATAGATACCAGCGATCATGAGTCGGCATTCATTTAGTGGCTCAGTTGCTGTCAACAACAATAATATTAAATAAATAAATATGATATCGTTATCCTGGTACATTATATCTTTAATATCACCAGAAAGGTTAGAATCCTTGACCCAGATTGGACAGTTGTAACTCTACGCTAGTATATTCTCTCTGCATCCACACAGAGACTTCGGCAAGATTTGATCGGCTTACAGACAAAGTTAAGCTAGGCCTGTTGCCATGACAACCATCGTATTGTGTGTGATAAGCCTCCAGCGTTGGTCGGGAGGGGCATCGAGTTATGCGTGAGTTAAATGAAATCGTCTCAAACTCAAAGAGAAAGGTTGAAGAATTAAAGGGGAGTGCAGTATAAGGTTTGCTTTCTGTTTGATCCCCCTGTCTACATGATTGTCTGTCTGTCTGTGTCTGTCCTTCTAACTTTCCATCTGACTGTCAGTCTGTCAGTCTGTCTGTCTGTCTGTCCGTTTGTCTGTCTGTCTGTTCTGCCAGTCTGTTTGTCTGTCAGTCTGTTTGTCTGTCTGTCCGTCTGTCTGTCTCTCTTTCTCTCTCTCTCTCTCTCTCTCTCTCTCTCTCTCTCTCTATTTATCTATCTATCTATCTATCTATCTATCTATCTATCTATCTATCTATCTAATTTCTGTCTGTTTTTAATATTATATTTCTTTCTCTAGCTTTTCTTTCTCTTGCCTCGTGAAACCAGATGCTCCGCAAAATTATGAAATCGGAGAAACCGACATTTTTCCCCCCAACGGGCAATTTTTATCGATCTTTTAACTTTTTGGTTGATCCCTTTTAATGTCAATTTAAAAACATATTTATAGGCGCATTTTACAGAGAAAAATGTGAAATTTGCAGTTTTCAACGACACTCACGGTTAGGAAGTCACCAAACTTTAGCGGCCATTTTTTCACTCATTTTTGCCACCGACGTAAGGCGACCCCCACCTCCTTACATTATAAAGGTCCTGACATCTGTTCAAGACAGAACGTTATTTTTTCATCAAAACTACAGAATGAGCAAGCCGTAAGATGATACCAATATCTCCATATGCCCAAAAACTGACGAGGGCCTGATTCAAAAGTGCCGTGACACACACACACACACACA